GGGCTGCAGTTCGCTGCCTCCTTTGTCGTCCATGCCGATTGAACCTTTAATGGCAGAGCAGTACCGTGTCTATGATCGCCGACCAGCCGCCCATTGAATCCATCCCCTAGTGCACGATCTGGATGCTCAACGCTCATCTCCCTGAGGCTCAAAAGCGGAATTTAGCACCGATGCAAGCTCTACGAAGCTATCTATACGGGCCATGAACTACGAGCATAATATCAAATCTGATGCTGCGTACATGGTGGCTCTTGAGAGATCAGCACTCAGTATTCTTGTACCGACATCTAATGTCTAGATGTCTAGATCTGCAATGTGTCGGTTCATTCCGGAGAAACATAAGGTAGGTGCCGTCTTAGACCGCCCCACCCAAGCCAAACAGAAGATACTCAACATCTTCTTGCAATTTGGACCAGAACCTACCGAGAGCAAGGCGATATTGTCACTCGACTCGTGAACTAATTCCTAAAAAGTATCACAGTCCGCCACTTTCAGTGAGGTACATTCGCGATCACCTGTGTCCGAACAGGTCCACAAGCTGTCTCCTTAACGGTGTCCCGAACCATTTACACAGAGCTGTGGAGGAGAGCGTAAGAGAGGATTACTATGTAAGAGAATTTGGATGCTTCGAAGCATATTTAGCGGCACTATTGGATGCGGAAGAAGTATAACTCATTTTAGCTTCTATTCTGCTCGCATCATTGCCAGACTATTTCTTCAGACTACCAGATTATTTCGACCACATTGTACAACCCCCGCTTCTCGGCCCTCTAGCATGATTTTTGAGATACGAACTAGCTTGGAGAATTGATACCAGAGTCAAGGTGGCGTCATTCCATTAACAATTGATCGTCGCGGCCGAAGTGAGCTACTACGAGCAGCAGTCAAGGCGTTGTGGAGAGCAGCATGAAACAACGTAGGTGGCTCCTCTGGCCATAAGGGTCACTTTGAAGAAGGCTGAAGGGGATATGGAGGCGCCATAGCGCCCAAGTGCTCATAATCAGGGTACACTGCATGTGCACCGTCCCCAATCTACAAGTACGAGCGCTCTGACAAGCCACCAAGACCGCTGTGGTAAGGAATTGTAAGATTAGGCCACACGGCTATCTCACGAGCTAGCACGGAGTGCTCCGTACCACTAGCACTAGTACGAATCACGGCCATCCTCATCCTTGCCGCGTCCCGGAAGCTTGTACTGCGTATGGAGCATTGCCGTATGGACAAGTGCTGGGTGTCTCGTTTAGAGCCGAACCGGGGTTACCGAGAACAACAATGGGCTTGCCCGCCCACATGCCGAGTAGACAAAGAAGACAAGCGCATTGTCTTGAGGCCCTCCCAAGATCCTAGGCGCACGCGTTGAGCGATTTACACGGCCTGCATTTTCGACTGTAATACTGCTAATACTGCTACTACCGCTAATGTTACTAGTCATACAAGTAGGTACATACCCAAGGCGGCAGAATTCTGCATCTAGCGTTGTTGCCCAGAGTTGATTTGCGCGGGACATACAATGAAAGCTGCCTCGAAGCGCGAGAGGCGCTCAGAAGTAAATGTCGGAGCCCCCCATTTTGCGATAACACTGCCACAAACTACGAAAATGATGCACATAGGTTTTACTTCGCTATACCTACATACCAACGAACTAGCCTTGAACGATAATGTCAGATTTCAGCTCTATAGTAAGTTGAAATTCCTTTGATATATGGAATACTCCCGGAAGAGTCGAAATCCGGATTTGCGCACCTCGTACGAAGCAACAATACACCGTGGGGGAGACGCATGAGTTGAAGCTGGGGCGAAATATGCCTCCTAGCGTCGGAGACGTGGTGCACTGTGGGGAAAGCTCAAGGATTCCTTGTTTGTGCTGCTCGCAGCCTAGCCAAAGCCGGGCGGCTAACTCACAGTCTCCGGATGTTGGCGTCCTGGGGTCTGCCTTTAGCATCCTCATTGTGGATGTTTAACGGGACTACCCACGCACACATGTGACTCGCTTAGACCGCCAGCGTTTTCCGAAGATTGACGCTGCTTCCTGTCCCATCGTTTGGTCGCAGATATCCAAGTCAGGGATGTCGTTTTGGGAAGGGTGGTCGCAGTTTTGGCCTCGCATCATAGCTGAAAGACCTAAGCTCCCGTGGTAGCAACCGTAGCTGGAGGGTTGCAGTCGTCTGACGTGTCCGGGGAGGGTGGCTAAACAGAAGCCGTACCGACACAAGGCACATCACGCGAGGAAGTGTCTGCAGCGCAGCACACTCACATTACTCCGTACAGGCATACGGTAGGCAAAGGGCAAAGGGGGCATGCTAGGTACCTTTACGGGTCTGTCTACGACGCTCTCGTACAAACACGATCGCTTTGAAGCAGCTGTGCGAGTTGGGCACGCATCCAACTGAAATATGTCTATGCACGTTCTCGCCAGCACAGACCGATGTATGTACAAGGAGTGTTTGCTTGTCGATTTCTGATCGCGGCCGTCGCAATGCGCACCCTCTCAGGCCAAGCTTTCTCGGCCTGTAGCCGTCTGTCCGAGATTCAAGAGATCCCCATGTCCGAATTACGTATGTACGCTAGTTCGTTAAGCGCCTTGTGTTTTCGGAGAGGGCTTCCGCTGTGTCGTCCTTACGGGGCGCCAGAGAGATCCCTCAAACGCCAAAGATTGCTGACTGCAGCCGGGTTTCGGTGATGGCGCTAGCCACTTTGTGTGCGCTGAAGAGCCCGGGGGCGACACTATATCTGTCGATCGTCGGCGAGTGGTGCGGCAAACGACTTGCGGCAAACCACGGCGGCTTAGCCGAGATGATGCTGCGAGCACGGAGCACGGAGCACGGAACGGAAGACAGCGAGGCTGGTCACGATATGTTTCGCCTAACCCGGCACATTGCACAGCACTCATACAGGCACGCAGCTTCGTACAGAGAGCGGAGTTTCATGGTTACTCAGAATGCTTCCTACCATGTTGGGCCAAGGGCATGGCCCCCACGATGGCACCAGAACAGGCTGCTGAGTCTTGGCAGTGCTGTGGGAAGAGGGAAGATGTGGAGTCTCTGGCGCTGAGACTTGCTTAGCCTGTTGTTAAGCATTGCCTTAGTCTCCCATTTATGGCAGGCCGCCTGAAAATGATCCAGGCTGCTGGGCTTTGGAAGCTTGGAAGGTTTTGAGCCGAGCTTGTCTTTGTCTTTTTTTTACCGAACGCTCCTCTTCGTTGCTGCTTAGTGATCGGGCACCAGGTTCCTTCTCGGCCTCCGCTATTGCTAATAGCCACGTTTCAGCACTCCTTGGCTAGGTCCTGCCTAGTACTGGATCTAGAAGCCCCTCAATCGCGGGGACAACAGACCAAGTGGTCGGCATCTAAGTGTTAGCCTTCAATCCACCGATGGGTCTTGCACAATGGAACGAAATGACGCAAGCCTGCAGGAGTAAGGCTTACAGGTTCATGTCCCGAGATGCTCTCCCTTATTAGCCCTGGCTGTGGACTCTCACCTGGGAGTCACAAGCGGCGATGCCAGCAGATAGTAGGCCAGCTATATACGGATAGAAAGCCATCTATGTGCAGAATACGGAATAATACAGGCGCAGTGTGGTCTTCGAGGGCGGCCCTGGAGCAAGCCGAACTCCTTCTAAGCCGGGAGTGGCTGCCGATTGTCGCGCGGCCACCGGCTGGCAAACCGATCTCGAGGCTCAAGATGAAAGTCGATGCATGAAGCTGGCTCGCTTCCTAGCAGGCCTGCGTCGGGCCATCGGACAATATTCCTATCAAGCGTCAGCAAATGACTTTCGGAAATGCTCCGTCTGTGCAAGAAACACTGCAGCCCCCTGAGTAGATCTCTCTGGCCTCTTACTTACTGTACCATTTTTGGTTCTGTGAAATCCCGCTGGTGTACAATACTCGGAGTTAAGTGTGTACAGTGACCCGGCCACGATGGCGGGCCTGCCCTTACTCGTATGAAGGGGCAGCAGTTGCTTGTGGATTTGTAAGAGGCCTCTTCTGTCTTCTCTACTCGCTAGCTTTGACGTTCTTACGCTCGCGCATTTTGCCACCCCCGTCTCATTCTTTTCCTCTTTTCGTTTCAGAATGTTCCTATACCAATCCTTCGTCTGTCGAACAACAAGAGAAAGAGATAGCGGTGCTTACTCGACCCCCCCTGTATTGGCCACCCCTCACGCCCGTCGATATCGTCCCTCTTTTTTTTTTCTTCTTCCTTCTCAGCCCGGATACTTCTTCTACACTAGTATTTCGGATGACCGTGCCTTAGCCGCTGCTAATTTGCCTTGTTTGGCTTAATTTACTAATGCGCTGCTTGCTATTTGGTCATCTATGACAAATTGAAGCTGCCTTACCGCCCTGTTGTGTTCTTGTTGATGGGGTCAGCTTTTGTCTAAATTGCTCGGATCTCACCGACTTCTTGGTTGCTCTTCTACTAGGTACTACCTAGCACCAACACCTTTTTGCCACGTGAAAGACCGAGGTAGTTTTGTATCTACATCTCTCCACCAGGAGCTAAATGTTTTGCGGAGGTGCCTATTCTGATACTGTACATGGTCCTATACTCTATTCTCTCCAGAGGAGTTGGAAGTCGATCTATCCACCTTCTATTCATAGCTGTAGCGTAGAGCAGGACTTTTGATGAGCAGAGGTGAAGCGTGCTTCATATTATCGTTCAGTTTGGAAGTGGATGATATGTAAAAAGGTAAACTGTCATAAAAACCAAGTACATAATCATGAAATCTATTCTCTGTCATCCCTATGTGTATCATTCGTCAAAAAGGGCTTCTTTTTTTTGGTTCGCCGCAGATGAATTTCCCTTTCCTAACATCAACCAGACCGAAATGAAAAACAATGAACGAAAGACAATCAATAGATATGAAGAAGGAGTGGGAGAAAACACGTAATGGGAAGGAGTAGAAGAGAGCAAATCATGCTTCTTCACCTCCATCATGCCAAATCCCTGTCTGGTTGATCCTCACAGGTTAGCAACAACAACATCTCTCTAACCTTCTTAGCCTTAGCCCTCAGCAGTATCCATGGCATCATCTCCTTGTTGTGCCAGCTTCTCCTTCGAAGCCTGAATCCTCTCAAGCCTCCACTTCTCAATCTTCTCCTTCAGCTCCGTCTGCGGAACGGCATCCTCGATAGTCATAGGCTGGCGCGTGAATGGATCTTTCGGGTCGCTCAGCAAGTGCTGCACGATGGTCGATCGATCGACAACGTGCCGACTCGGCAGGAGCACGGGATCCTTCATCAGCTCTCCCATGATGGGGTCTTCAAACTCGGGCGGGATGTCGCCGAGATCCAACTCGGCTTGATCCTGCTGCTCCTTCGCCTGGACAAACTTGGTCTTGAGCTTGTCCCATCGAGCAATATCTGCGGGGTCTTTCTGGTGTTTCGATGAAAGGATGTAGGCGACGCGATCCAGAACCTCTGGCTTGTAAGAGCGCCCGTCCGCTGCGACAGCTTCGATGAAGACAGATGATGCTCCAAGGTTCAAGTAGATTTCGACAAAGTCTGAGAGCAGCTGAAGAGGGCGGAAGTGGTATTTGTCTCTGTTCGAAACGCTCAACTCGGCTGCAGCTTTCTTGCCGGCCAACGTCTCGAGGTTGTAGTTCAACATGCTCGCCAGACGTGAGACAATCTCAGGCATGGTGAAGGCCTCGCTTAACGTCTTGGTAAAGAGTTTCATCATCTCAAGGGTCTCGTTGGCAAGCTGCATGTAAGATGTCGCTTGGCTTCCTAGGCTCTGTAACTCCTCTTCCTTCTTCTGTCGGTCCTCTGTTGACATGGTTTTATTCTCAACAAGCTCTCTTTCAATACCGCGCATCTTGGGGAACTTTGTGAATGCCTCATCAAGCACGTAGGTAGTATCATTTAGAAGCATATTGACGAATTGAACAAAGAAACCCCGGTTGACCCTGGAAGCACGTTAGATATTTGAAGATGTTTGAGTGGCTCAGAATTTCTTTCGGAATAGGATTTACTTACTTGCTTTCTTTGATAAGCTGTTGTCTGTAAACATCATTAACCCATACGCATTTGATGACTTGGAAGATTTCATATCGTATGTTGAACTTGTCGTAGAAAGCCGTGTTGGCTCCAGTAGACTCGCACTCGATGTAGAATTTCATCAAAGCATGCAACAAAAAGTCGTTGGCAAACTTGATGGAGATGAGCTGATCGCCCAAAACACCTCTCTTGAGGTGCATAAACGGCCAGGTTCCGGAGAAGAGCAGAGACACCAGTGATGATTTGAGATATGGATTTTTGATCTGTTCTGAAGACCGGAGGAAGGTGATGCACAGAGCAATCATTTCCTCGCCCACAGCGCTGGGAAGAATGGTAGGAAGCCATCTATCCAGGAAGCGACTTTGGTTAGTTTCAAGAGTTTCCATTTTGCGAGAAGAAGTTGAAACCTAGCCTCGGAATGCTTACCGGAACACAAACTTGAAGTTGTCAACAATATTCTGAAGTGCATATTCAGGAAGATACGCAAAAGCGTCAGAGTTTGCTAATTCGATAGGTAGCCTAGCAGTATTGTTAGTCAAATAGCATATATGAGTTCAATACCGGAACCTTACTTGATGGTCTCAGTTTCAGTTCCAGGCTTGTAATCAGACCCTGTTGCAATACGAAGCAGCCATACAGCGACATATCGCATGAACCGCAGAGAAGTGCTCTGCATCCTTTCGTCGAGCAGAACGCCCTCAATGGAGTATTTCAGCGCTATTGTCTTCTCCAGCACGTTCGTATGCCTCTTAAGCGTCTCTTCGAACAGCCTAAGTTGATGCGGCGCGTTGGCTACTTTTGATCGCTCTGCCTCCATAGCCTTGAGATGTCTCTCCAAGTACTTGATCTCGCGATCGAGATTCTTCAGCTGCGAGTTGAGTGCCTCGCTGCCATAATGGTGGGCAGCCAGTGTCAGGAAGAAGGCCTCAGAGATGAAGTTTGAGTCCCCGTCTTCCTTTTGAGCGTAATACTTTTCAGCAGCGGCTTGATCGGCGTTAAGTTTGGTCTCATCAGAGATATCAACTCGCGGCTGCCTCCTAAAATATCGGACATCAATCTTGTCTATTTTGCTGAAATCCATTTCCATAAATGGTTCACAGAACCGATCCAAAATCGTGGTGATGTTCATCATAAATCCGTCAGAGGCAACCTCTCTAGGGTCCACCTGGATAGCTCTCCGCTTGTGGTTGGTGTTTAGGATGTATGCAAACCAATCCAGTGTACGGTTTCTTGTATCTGGCCCTGCCCGGATGAAAGCGTTGGTAATCACAAATAGGTCGTCTTGGTGTGTCCTCAATACCATTCGCAATGCGTCTTGCGCGTTAGTAATGCGTGCCTTGTCTAGAGTACGCGACCCGGGAAAGTAGCTTTTTATCACTTCTGGCTGTAAGGGGGATAAACGAAAAAAGGGGCCAAGAATAGTGTTCCTCTCAATGGTGTGTGGCGAAAGAGGTAGTTTGAAGCAGGCATGTTTGGCGAGATTAGATATTAAGATAGGGAAGCGTGTGTATGTTAGCAGTGCCTGCGCATATCAAAGGTTAGTTCATCGTGTAGCTTATAGTGTGGCGGGAATTACACGTTGCTGCGTTTTCTTCTCCTTGTTGAAGGGACGTATCAAGACTAACCTGGACATATGGCTTGTATTCATCGCTCATGGAAAGTGCAGATAGCTGAGTGCTGAGCTTGACCATGGCATCGTTGAAGATGGCTGGAAAAGCCTCGTCATCGTCAAACCGCTTAATAGCCTCTTTGATGAAATCGAGGCAAATTCCACCCTCATCTATCGGACCCTTTAGAAGATAAGGGGCAATAGTATCATGGTTTGGGTTTGGCTCACGGCTGGAAGAAAAGGCATCAGATATGAAAAGTGTTCAGGGGCTGCCTCGAAACCACATTCAACTAACCCATATAAAACCGGCATAGTAACGGCGAAGAGGCAGTTGCTCATGCACAAACGCTTCGACTCTTCGCTTAGGTCGAACTTAGGGCCGCTCGTTTGCTTATTCGCTGACGCTGCCTTGACAGCTCTCTTCCAGCATGGCAGGAGATAGTGCATCAGAGGCTTATCTGAAGGCCAGCTGCTGCAAGCCTCTATGATGGCCTGATCCAAATTATTAACAGACAGCTTCAGAGGCTCCCCGGATTCGTTGAGCTCTTGGTTCAGATTCGGGAGAAAGGTCAAGCGATGGTTGCCATTGCTTGTCATCCGGTGGGGATCGACCGTTACGCGGAAGATTTGGCTTAGAATTCTATCGGCATAGTCCTCATCCGACTCGGGCTGGACGGGCGTGTCTTTACGCGGGGGTGGTGCTGAAAGGACGTCGTCAACTTGAGAGGCGGACCTCTTGCGAGCAACACGAAAAGTACCTGTAGAGCCTTCGGGGTCGGTCGGTTTGCTCGACCGCACGCCGAGCTGCGCAAAAGGGTTTGAGGTCGGCTGGGCCGCCGGTGTGATGGTGATCTTGGTCTTCTTGGTCTCGGATTCGCCCTCGGGGGCTGGAGAGCCCGACTGCGGAGGAGCAGGCGAAGATGAGCTTCCGGCTTCTGCAGGCGTGCTCTCCGCCGGCTTTGGGGGAGTTGGGTTGCCCAGCTTGGCCAGACGCCGTGCTCGAATCTATATCGACAATCGTTAGTTTCCCATCTAGACGACCATCGCCCACAGTGGCGGCTCAGAGGATGCACGAGACGACTAACCTGCTCCATCTTTTCTTTATCAGGGCCATCAGGCCCCGCGGGCGTCTGGTTGGGATCCATGGCGGAGGGGTCTTGGAGAGCGTAGAAATGAAAGAAACTCCCGGGTTCCGTATGTCGAGCAGGGAGGAATGACGAGAAACCAACAAGAACAATGCAACGGGCAAAAAAAAGACACGTGAAAACGGAACGCAGGTTTCGCGGTAAACCAACGTTTACATATGAAACGTAGAAGCAGGTGGAATGGCGAGGCTGACAAAGATGCAGCTTTGGGCCTTGGTGGAGAAGTGATGTCGTCTGCCTGCGGGGCTCTACCGCTACCACCTTACTAGCGATGGACGGTTTCAATGGCCTGCTCCCCCGTAGGCAGCGCTAGAGCCAGTGCTGTAGCGATATTTGTTGGCTGGGCTCAATCTTTTGTTCTAGGCTTCAATGTTCCTTTTTCTCCCGGTGGCTCCAGTAGATTACCAGAGGTTGATTGAGTTTGAAAAAAGAAAGGAAAAATGGGACGCCTGTATCAGGCTGTGCGGACTTCGTTTTGGTCAGAGTATAAGATTGAATGCGCTTCCAGCTGCAAGCCAAACACGATTGGTTGGATGTTCCTCTTATATCAGCGGTGCGTCGTTTGCTATCAAGGCCAGTATTTAGTAAGCTTGCCGGGTTGTTTGCCGCGTATCTGTAGCCTGTAGTAAGACTTGCAGCTAGGCATTCACAGCTTGTGTCTGCCCAGTAACAATGATTCCAGCTGCTTTGGCAAAATGAAACTGTATGCTCGCTGGCCAAGTCAAAAGAGAAAGGACAAGAGCTTCACAGAAGAAGACGGCAGCAAAAGAAGAAGGAATGAAAAATTAAAACGTCTGAGGTCATAATTTCAGGTACCTCGGAACTTTATCATTATGTAGGTCTGCAGTGGAACTCCGCTGCCAGCAAGTACACACACACTTAGTGCTCTATGAGCCCAGCGACTCTTTAAAAGTCCGCGAGCGGGGGTCCCCAGATCGGAGGCTCTCTGCTATAGCGACTTCAGTAGGGTCAAAAGGATTTTAGGATGGAGTACAAATAAGCTCCTCCTTGGTTCCCGAGTTGCGGATTTCTCCTTAATCGTGGCCGCAGTCTAGCATACCGCCATCTGCATGGCGGAGTTGCCAAACAGCGATACTCGGCGTTAAGATATTGATGAGGGCTGCTCTTTAGTCTTCCCCATTGGAATTCAAAAAATCTCAAGACACAGATTACCATGGTCAATTTCTCTTCTCTTTGAATTGCTAGACATAAGTAGATATAAGCTGGCTCCCACAACAATGGGAGCAAAACATAAAACATCTCCCAGTTTTTATACGCCCTGATTGGTATATTGCTCAATGGCCTCCCATGCTCGTAAATGCAGCACCAGTCCCAAATGACTCGATTACTTTAACAAAACACCTCGCTATCTATAGTCGTGGAAGATCAACGTCCACACTGGTCGATCGCCGTCTCTGGCGCACCATGGGAGGCAGCGGCTCCTGCACCGTATCGGACCCCATTGACGTGGGCCGTGTGGTACCGCTAGAAGTTGGTCTCGCATGGACTTCTTCGCGGCTGCGGCTCATGAGCCAGTTGACCTGCATTCGAATCATGTTGATACTATTTCGTAGTTCAGAAACTTCTTCTCGAACAGGCACGATCTGGTTGGCAGTCCACGCATTCTGGCGCTCGAGATTGTTCAAGTTGTGGTGGACTTCGCCGAATCCAGCATCAAGATCCTGCATTGCCCTGACGTCCCTGAATCCAGGCTCGCCCGGACGATTGAGGGGTGGCGGCCCGGAAACTTGATCGAGCCGTCGGCTGGTCTCGTCTTGCCTGGCTCGTAAATGACGGATCTGGCTGCCCAGGTTGCCAAATGTCTCTATGATCTCGCGTTGGCTGCGTATGATGGCGCCAGAGGGCGAGTCTGGGTGGAAAGGGCAGGAAAGGGCATGGAGCTCCTGGTGTGCTCGTATAACTCTCACGGGACAGCCGACGCTTTGAAAGCGGCATGCCACTTCGATGGATACACAATCCACGCTTCGATGGACCTCTTCGTCCTCGCGGAGGATCATCGCCCAACAGGCGGAACATCGAGTCTTGCTCCTAGGGCATTGAAGCAGGTGGATATCACTATCGGCTTCTTCAATAATGGCGTCGCAGAACTCGCAGTTGCTTTCCTGATGCTGGCATTTATCATCGGCCGGCTTGTAGCGAACAGTCTTTTCGCATTCGCTATCTGGACAAGGGAACTCGCGGAAGCCGCACTCCACTGTCGCGTGCCGTTCTACTACCTCCCGTTTCATTTCCTCTTCGCAGCCTCTGCCATGGTGGGGGCATTTGACAACCAAGTTATTCAGCTGGGTACGAATCAGCCGTATCGAGCTGGTGCAGTCTGTCCATAGCAGAGGTTCTCTGTCTATCGGGCAGACGCCACCAGCGGGACTCGACGCCATGCTCCTCCGCAAACACCGATAGCAGAATGTATGGTCGCAAGGGGTCGTCACAGGGTCGACGAGCGGGTCGTGGCAGATGGGACACAGCAGATTCGGGTCCGGGTCGCCAACGTAGGTGAGCGCGTACATGTCGAGGATGGCATTGCTGCCATAGCGTCTTGGAATGTCCAAGGAGGACAGGTGTGGTTTGATCTGCGGTCCTGGACGCGGGTTGCTCGCGGCGTAGTATTGTGAATGTCTTCCGGCGTATTGCGATCGCAGTCCGGCGTCATCTTCCGCAAGCATCGGCGTCTGGCTGGGCGGGTCAGAGTTGACGGAGTAGAGGTCTGGCGAGTATCTGTCGGGGTTGAGCGTCGTCAGCGCGTCGATATGCGGGATTCCACTGCGGCGGGAAATTTGTCGCGCAGGCGTTCGATAATGTTCGTCAAGGTCCTCGTCGCTCGAGTCGGACATGATCACCGGCGGTGGCCAGCCTTCTGAGGACATGTTGTCCATTTGTGTCTGAGCGCTGGGGAGAGATGGGGGGCCAAAGGGGATATAGTCGTCTTCATCTCGCCGCCGTCGTCGCTGGGATGTCGAGGACATGCTGGCGGCGAGCAGCAACGGAGGCGATAGCGGTGGCAGATGGAGCTGGGCCGGGCCTAGAGCTGGACCCAGATGGCTGATGCCGATATGCGAGCCGCCGGTGGGGACTGATGGAGCTTTGGAGATGGTAGACTGTGCATAAGATTGCCGGAAAGGAGCCCCTCGGACAGGCGGCACGAGTCGAGTCTCGGCTCAGGGCGGCCCTAGTGGACGAGCATGTGCCAGCGTAATGCCCGTGCAGCTTCGTGGATGGAATCAAGATGCGGGAGATTTCCAGCTGCGATTAGATGTGGGAGAGTCAGCGGTCTGCTAATCGTGCCTAGCGTCGAGATAGATGGTCTAAGTGGTGCGTGTTGGTGTTTACTGCTACCACCTAATTTATATGCAGTGGCGATCCGGCGGGGTAAACAATATACCGCAAGGGGACACAGCCTGTGCGACGGTAACCCTGTGGTATTACGTGTAAAACGTGCGGTATTAGTCGTAGCAGTGAGGCTGCAGCATGGAATCCAGAGAATATTAGTACATGCAGACCATTGTATGAGTACATGTACCTATTCACCAATCTGATAGTACTACTAGTAGTAGCCTTTGCTGCCCATTGGTAGGTAGATTGATGTACTACGCATCACTTATGTGCGTATATTGATTCAGTGCCTACACCGGATCTTCTTGCCATAAACACTGCGTTCGAGTGAGACTAGTCTACGACATTGCGTCAAGATGTGCTAAAGCACATGCTCGTAAAGTATAACACTTTCTCATGGTGACAATGTTCAATATGCCTCAGTCCAAAGCCATGGCGAGCGGTGGTTCAGTCCATCGGAAGTGGTTAGCAGTCCGTCGCAGGGTTTCCCAAAATGGAAATATTTGGCGCCTATTTGTGTTATTTAACCAATTTCAATAGAGGACGGTCGACACCAAAGTCAAAGTAACGATTTACATGTTATATAGAGGAGGTATCAAGCTTTCGCTTCATTAAAGTTATGGCGTTATATAATGTTTTCAACGAAGAATACTAGATGAAGCTGCTTCTAAAATTGACAGCCATGTCGATTTGTGAACAGTTTTCTGAACAGTTTATGCTTTTTACAAGATACCATCCTCACCGAGATGACCTTAACTGTGTATATCAGGTCAACTTCATCAAGCTTCCCACCGGCTACTGTCCACATGAATGCTTTTTTCCGCATCAGCCAATACCGAATTAGCACAGCAGCAACCAGCGAATTGACGCCATACGCATGCAGTGGCTTTCTCGCGTCAATATCCTCAGTTGCATATAGAATCTGAAGGACCCCGTCCATTGTAATTCGGTGAATAAGATGATCATAAATATGGCCATGGGGCGTCAACAATTCCAAGCTTGGAACTTCCAAAGTACAAGTAGCCCTGTTGACTGTATAATTGACACCTGTAAATGTCCGAAACGTTGGGCCGTACTGAAGGCCGATGGTCCCAAAGTACTCGTGCATGTCGGTAAGGTAGGCTGGAGTGACTCTTGACACAGATTCGAGATGTGCTCCAACTCAGTGGCATATGATGAATCCAGCTCTTCATCTTCTCGTTTATCATCAACAGGATTGGGATCAACCTCATACTGAATACTGATCATCCCCCGGCAGTACACTCTCCAGCCATATCGGGCAGTATGAGATACAAGGTGAATCTCGTTCCATACAGTCGAGAACAGGCTCGAGCTGTGCGCATGAAGTCCCATATAGAACATTGTCTCCACGCCCTCTTTGCTGTCGGGAACCGTCAGGGCTGCATTGATTAGCCTTTCATTTTGTGCATCTCAAGGTAATTAGAAGCTGAAGTTTGTAAATCCGATTTATGGCGGGTATCAGCTAGTATTAATAGGGAAATTATACTCAATTAATGTTCTTATAAGCTAAGAGTAAGTCTTCTTATATTTTCTTCTCTAAACTCTTTTAAAAAAAAATGTCTAAAAATGTCCAAAAATGCCCTTGTAATAGGCTGCGGTATGTGTATGTCATAATTCGTATATAGCACTTGATACTAATATCTCCTAGGCTTTGCTGGCCTCGCCACTCTATACGAATGTCTCGCCGAGGGATTGAACATCACTTGTGTAGAAGCTAGCGACTCATGCGGTGGACATTGGTATTCTGAAGATGCTAGCCTTTCACCTTCAGCAGCATCTCCATCCTCTTCTGTGTACCAGAGTGTAATTATACTATCGCCAAGAGATATGAGATGAGCTTCAGTGACTTTCCCATGGACCATTCAAGATATCCCTACTTTGCGTCTCACAAGCAGGTGCTGCAGTATCTTCGACAATATACAGATATTCGCAAATCCTTGGTCGCGCATATACTTCTCTACTGAAGTGAACATTGTGGAACCACAAGATGACGGGCAAGTGGAAGACATGGATGCAGTGAAAAGATGGCTCCAATGCGAACGCTGCAGTTCTTGATGCAGTCTTGAAGAAAGACACTAAAGAGGAAGAAAATATAGAGGTGATTTCAATTAAGTTTCCTAAGATGAGAAGGAACTAAAAGTGTAATAAGTTATTTTCTAAACGAGACAGACACCTAAACATACTACTTCTACTACTACTGCTACTACTGCTACTACTGCTACTACTGCTACTACTGCTACTACTGCTACTACTGCTACTACTGCTACTACTACTACTACTGCTACTACTGCTACTACTGCTACTACTGCTACTACTGC